CAGTAATTCCCCTAACTCCTATTCAAATTGGGGAGAGATAAAGCATGGTGTCCCACAGGGATCAGTACTTTGTCCATTCCTTTTTTTCTTTACATTAATGTCTTTCAAGAAACAGTAAATGATAATGCTGAAATTGTTTCATTTGCTGATGACACTAGTATAATTATTGCTAGCCTTAACCATATAAAATGTAATAGTAGTGTTAATAAAATTTTTCAAGATATGTAATGATGGTTCTCTACTAATTTGTTGTGAGTAAATGTTGATGAGGCACAATTTATGCAATTTATATCTAAGACTGGTTCCATAATCAATTTAAATATAATACATGGGGACAAAATTCTGTGGTCTGACAGTTGATAACCCATTTTATTGGAGGACTCATATAGATGTATGTATGAAAAGGTAGGCCTGCTCGGCCCTTGCACTTAGACCTCAGTGGCCCATTGTGCTTCCCTTTTTTTAATTATTCCCTCAGCAATCCCACGCTTCAGATGAAGCGCAAGATTTTGGACGTGGGGGCGTCGAAATAGTCACTTGGTTCCATAAAGTACTGACCCAAGTGATGTAGTCTTAAAGAAGCTAAAGCCTCACATTCACACAGGACGTGTGTGGCTGTTTCATTTTCTATCTGACACCACTCACAAGTGGGACTGTCACTTAGTCCCAATTTGAACAGGTGTCCTTTGAGGTGACAGTGTCCTGTAAGTAGTCCTACCACCCATCGTAACTGGTTCCTGTTGAGCTTCAACAGTTCCTTCGCTCTTTTATCAGAAGGTCCTCGTATGAGTCCCTTAGCTTGCCTGAGTCCAGTTAAGGATTCCCAGTATTTCTTATGTTTTCTGTTAGTCCAGTCCCTGATTGCCTGTTTGGCAACTTCTAGAGAGATGCCACAGGCTGGTTCAGGTCCTATGAATGGATGTTCAGCTCCAATTTTAGCTAATTGGTCTGCTGCTTCATTTCCAGCAATACCCTCATGCCCCGGCACCCATATCAGTTGTACCCTGTTATGTTTGGCCAGTTCCATGAGGGTTTGGTGGCAATCCCAGACCAATTTTGAATTGATCTGGTGTTTGTCAAGTGCTTTGAGTGCTGCTTGGCTGTCAGATAGAATGTAGATGTTCCTATTTCTATAGTTCCTATCTAAATTCTCCATAATACATGCTTTAATGGCATATACTTCTTCCTGGAATACTGTCGTGTACCGCCGAAGGCTGAAACTAAGTTTTCGCCTCGTACCATGGCAGTACACACCAGCTCCAGTGCCTCTATGTGTCTTGGAACCATCTGTATACCAGATCAGTCCCCCTTTTCTATCGGGCCGAAACCCGTCTTCCCAATCACTCCTGTAAGGAAATCTGACTGTGAAGGGGTTTTCATGTGCATGTATCAGTATCATTTTGTCAGACCTCATTTGTAATATGGGTTCTTTCTTCATGTCCTGTGTTATGTATGCATGCCCAAAACCATCGGATCTATGTTTCCATTGATCACTGCCCTGGAGACGGTAGTTTCCTGCCCTGGCCTCTGCCTCCAACTGTAGATGCAGTGGGGGGAGTCCAAGGAGTATCTCCAGTGCAGCTGTTGGAGATGTTCGAAATGTTCCTGTAATACCTAAGCAAGCCAACCTTTGCAATTTGCCAAGTTCTGTCTTGCTTGTCTTGAATTTAACTCTGGGCCACCATACTGTGACACCATAAGTAATTATAGGTCTCACAACCACAGTATATATCCAACGTACAACGTGTGGCTGTAGTCCCCAAGTTTTACCAAACATGCCCCTGCATGTCCAAAAAGCCTTATAGGCTTTGTTAATGACTTTGTCCAGCTGCTTTTTCCATGTCAGTCCCTTGTCTAATATTAGACCAAGGTACTTGACATCACTGGAGAGCTGGATTGTCTTATTGAAGAGAATCGGTTCCTTAAGACCCTTTACATTTCTCCTCCTAGTAAACGGTATGATTATCGTCTTGTTGGGATTGATGGAGAGACCTGTTCTTTCACACCATCGTTGGACCATGTAAAGAGCTGACTAAAGACATTCTGATAGGGTAGAAAGGAAGTCATCAGCATATCCTACTGTATAATACCCATCATCATTAAATCCCCACAGGAGATCGTCGACAACGAGGCTCCACAGCAGAGGTGAAAGTACGCCCCCCTGTTGTGGACATCCCCTAGACGCAGACACCCCCAGGGTTTCTCCCGATAATGTAGCAGCTATGATTCTGCTTTCCAGCATAGCATTGATCCATCTGCATATTGCGGGCTCTGTGCCATGCCTTCCAGCAGCCTGTTTGATTACATGAAATGAGGTTCTATCAAAGGCTCCCTCTATATCAAGGAATGCTCCTAAGGCAATAACCTTGTGTTCAGTTGCACTTTCTATGCATGTTACCACATTGTGTAGTGCACTTTTGGTAGATTTACCTGTTTGGTAGGCATGTTGGTTTTGGTGTAGAGGACATGTCCTCAATACCCCATCCCTAACATGCCTATCCACTAGTTTCTCCAGCGTTTTCAAAAGGAAAGTCGACAGGCTGATAGGGCGATAAACCTTAGCCTTGGTATAATCAAGTTTCCCGGGCTTTGGAATAAACATCATCTTAACCTGCCTCCAGGCTGTGGGGATAAAACCATATACCAAGCAGGCTCTATATATGTGACATAGGTGTGGAACTAAACGTTCTGTCCCATGTTGCAAAAGTGCCAGTACAATTCCATCCATACCCGCTGATTTAAATAGTCTGAAAGTGTTCAGTGCCCAATGTATTTTTGATTGATTAACCATGACTTTGGCCAGGTCGCAGTCTGCCCTGTCCATCTTGCTTTGGAAGTGTCCAGGTTCCGCTGACCCTGTCCATTGTCCAATTTGTCAATCAATTTTGAATCAGGAAAGTGAACTCTGAATAATTCATTCAGCATCTCCCTTCCTGTTTGAGTATACTGTCCGTTATGCAGCTTCATTGTGCTGACCTTATTGGTCGCCTGTTTTGCCATGATTCTCATGAGTCTGGCACTGCCCAGTACATCATTGATCTCCTGGCAGTACCCCCTCCATGAGGAGTGCTTGGCTTTCTTTATTTCTTTCTTGTAACAGGTCAGGGCTTCCTTATAGGTGTCCCACTGCCCTGTTCTTTTAGCTGTATTAAACAGCCTTCTTCTTTTGATCCTAAGCCCACTCAGCTGTTTATTCCACCAAGGTGTACTCCTTGGTCCGCGAGTGGTCCTAGCCGAACAATTCTGATTAAAGGACGAGATAATAGCCCGTTGCAACTGGTCAATGGACCGATCAACATCCTTTATTGTGTGTATATTACACAAGATGGCCTCCGGATTTACCTTTGGGTCTTTGTAAGGCTCCCAGTTGGTTCTCTTAGGATTCCTATAAGTAGTTTGATCTACTGTGATGTTACTTATTTTAAAGCATATATATCTATGATCCGATAGAGACGGCTCATCAGATACATGCCAATTACTTACCAGGTTTTCTATGTTATTAGTCCCAAGTGTCAAATAAATAACCTCCTTCCTATTGCAAACCACAAAGGTAGGTTCGTTACCATGGTTTATTAGAATATTCAGGTTCGAACTCACCAGAANTCCCTAGAACAGAGCTCCAGCAAAGGCAAGGCATTAACATGATTCCTGATATAAACACAAGATCTTGCATTATTACTGGGTGCAACAGAGTAAACTGTTCCCCCCATATTGTTTAAGCCCCTTATTCGACCCTTGTATAACCAAGGTTCCTGAATAAGTGCTATGTCTGCCTTGCCCTCAGCTAGATGTTGCACAGAGCTGCCGTGGCAGCTTTACTGTGGTGCAGGTTGATCTGAAGAAATCTCATGATCTCTTCCAATTGAGGAGGTATCAACTTCCATCTTATGTCCCTCCTCTATCTCGGACTGGGTTCCATGTGAAGAGGTCCCCTGATCCATTTTACTTCGGTCATCTGAGGGGCTGGGTACATCATCCCCTTCCTCCTCAGAGACTGAGTTAGAAGATACAGTGTCTGTCACGGGTTCTGCCCGGCGCCGAACTTCAGGATCGTCCAGCACCTTAACAGTCCCCTGTGAGAGTCCTGTAAATATTTTATAACCAGTCCTCTGTATAATAGTATAGGAGTTCCGGTCTATGAATAGTATAGGCCTTTGGCCTTTCGACTCAGATTGCTTGTCCAACACCCTCCAGTTCTTTGTATGGAGTCCTGGATTAAGATCTGCAATCCATTTCAGTAGCTCTTCCTGGTTTTGGGCAATTTTATCCCTAGTCCGGAGAGCTACTTTAACAGGCTTGGGCAGGTTCCTGGCATCAGTAGCCTTCAGCCTGGTCCCTGATTGAAGCTTGTGGTTGTCGATGGCTCTGATGAGCCACTGACCAGACTGTTGGTCGGCACATAAGTGCACCTCCTAACAGTCTGTATGATTTTAGGTGTGGTAGTTCTACCTTGGTATGTCCATCAGCCCACTGCCACTGTCACTGACATGGTAATTCACTACCTAACTGTGCTCACGTTGACCGTCATGCCCCTGTAAACTTTCTTCAGATGCCACAAATTTCAGTGCTCACAATGTTTTGTGTATTCAGGAACTCAGTAACACACCACTGCTTGATATGCATATCACTGTCACTCTCTATTTTCACAGACTAATACAGCCCAGCCACCTGGAACATAGTATTGAAACAAGATATTGGCACTAACATTTGAATTATCACCTGAGAGCATTACATTTTATATGCTTCATGCAAATGAAAAATTTAGAGGAATTAGTTTTGGAGTGAGCTTTGTATATTATTAAGAAAATGTAATCTAATATACCTGTGTTTTTAACAGTGTGCTAGGATTGATAGGCACATGACATCCTAATCTTTGCATAATTATTTGAATTTTTTAATCTCCCTTTTATTCATCATCTCAACATGTCTTATTGCAGGATGTGGGATGTCATTAAATGTTGGCTCATGTTACTGTGTAAGATAACATTAAATGTTTGCAGGTATTGAAGATATGAAGAGGAAGCGCAGTGAACTGCAGCAACTGATTGATGAACAGGAAGATGAAAAGATTACACTGCAAAGAGAGATCGAGAAGATGTCATTCAGACTGGCCCAGATTAATGCCAGTCTGTCCCAGATGACAGCTGCAAGAAGTAAATATGATCATACGATTGCCGAGACAGAAGCTGCATATACGAAGGTATGTGTTTATACCATTATTTTTTACCAGATTTTAGATTTCATCAAACTACCCACCTCTTGCAGAAATATCTTGCTTTTGATGGAACCTAAAGGTTCATTACCTTATACACAAGAGACATCCACATGCTCTGATCATGAATGAGGCAAATGTGGATTATACACTTATGCTATATTTTTAAGATGTGTTTTAATATGTGCCTAGGCTTCCCAAGTGATCTCAGCCCTTCCATTTATCTCTAGTCCCAAGAACTTAAATGCATTTTTAATCTAATTGTACAGTTTTCTCCGTCCTTCTGTTACTTCTGCCCATTAGGTTCTGACATTTTTCTTTGCCCTGTGTTCAGTACTGAATTCTGCACCTGCACAAAGCATGTAGTAAAATTATAGTCCTATATATTTTGATCTTTATGTTTTACAATAAACGTTAGGAGAGTAATTGAGTGATAAGCCTGAGTTAGAGCATGCACATTAAAAGCAATATAACATGAATGATCTCTTGATATTATGCACATTAAACTTTGTGTAATAATCTCCGTCCTCTGAAATTCTGATCTGATTCCTGCATATCTGAAAATGTTTAGCATTCTATTTTCCATAGAGAAATGTGTGTGTGCTGTTCATTCTGCTCTTGTCTGAATTGACCTCTCACCCCTCTGAATCTCTTTCTACAGTATTCATTGATCATGTCATACAGAGACTCATCGCTTTCAGAATTCCAGTCTTGTGAAATTTTTCAGTTGCTTTGCTCATGTGAAGGAATTTGTACGAGTCCATTGTCTGTGTTGCATTTCACAATATGCTTTTTTATGGTAAGGTAGGGTTAGCTTCCCAATTAACCCCAAAGACCACTGCTCAGCTACTGTCTGTCACTGTTTATTAAGTAATTTCATAGCTACCTTCCATACCTCTAAGTCGTCATCTCTGTCCACAACCAGAAAATATGCTATGCCATGTTGACAAGGGACCCATTAACTTTTGTCAAATTTAAGTTCTTCTTATACAGGGAGCCGGGATACCACAGTCTGTATAGCGATTGGCTGTGGTCTGGACAACTGAGGGGTTCGATTTCAAGTCCCGGTGGGGCCAAAAATTTTCACTTCTCCATGTATTCCAGACCGGTTCAGGGGCTCACGCAGTCTCTTATCCAATTGGTACCGGGGGGGGGGCTCTTTCCCCAGGGGTAAAGTGGCAGGGGTGTGAAGCTGACCACTCACCCCCAGCTAGTGCTGAGGTCAAGAAAATGTGGATCTATACATCCACTCCCTAATACACCTCCATGGTGTAGTGCTTAATTAGTTAAGCACAGGAACAACTTTACCTTTCACCTTACCTTTTATTGCCACACACAGCTACATTAAATGGAGACATTAAATTAAAATTGTGTCCCCTTCTCTAAAAATACAAATTTCTCTGGAAGAACTGATGATGAGAATATAAAATAAACATTTTCATAAAGCAAACAAAACAAAGATGGCAATCTTAAAAAAAATTAAAAAATTACCAGTAATTTGTTTTGTGCAAGGAACCCAAGTATGAACCTCTTATAAGATAACAGATCAAAATAGTGTTCACCTGTGATTGTCCCGCATGAAGATACTGTTCTCACAGATTCACTTTAGTGTGACAGTCCTTAAAGAATGTGATACACAGGTCAGTGTCACATGTTTCACATTGGTAATGTGTATGCTCATTTTTGTTTTGAATAGAACAAACAACACTGCAGTTGCTTTCCTTTAGGTCACCAATACTGCTTGCTGCTAGCTTCCAGGAAGTTTATCTTTTATCATAGCATCAGCTTATCAAGTAGGTATTTGTCATTCTGTGACTTGGTTACAGATCACACACACATTTGTTGGCCTCATCTGTTGGAGGTTTCTTAGTGTTCCTGTGCTCGTCACAGAGATTTCCATCTTACAGTTGATGTTGGCATATTAATGTTTAGAGTTTAAGCAGCGTTGCTGTCACTAGTTCACAGTATAACGCACTGAATGATATAATGAATAATTATTGGAAAGGATGTGGTAGGAAGTTGTGGTGTAATTGTACAGGGTGGGGTGCAGAAACTTCCTTTCTTTGAAGGTGAATAAAAGAAAAATTATTGCTGATAGACAATTTATTTTAGCTAATGAAAGAACCTACTTTAAAGTTTTAAATCATGTAGTTTTAAGCAAAATATCTTGAAGGTGGTGGCCACCGTTCTCTGTGCACCGATGCAACCGTTTTCTGAAGTTCCCCTCTGCACGTTCCAACATGTGCACTGGAATTTTGGCTACTTCCTCCCGAATAACATTCTTCAGCTGAAGCAGGTTTGTGAGGCGATGTTTGAAAACCTCTGCCTTGAGGTATCCCCATAAAAAAAATCACAGGGCGTTAGATCAGGTTAGTGCGCTGCCCACGGGATGTCACCTCAAAGTAAGATGAGCTGTCCAGGGAACTTTGCCCACAAAACTGTCATCGAAGCTTAGGCTGTGTGGGCCGTGGCACCATCCTTTTGGAACCAGACATTTCCTAATTGCATTTCTTCAAGAGCTGGTTCGAAAAAGTTTTTAATCATGTCCACATACCACTGTGAATTGACAGTAACTGCATGCTTGTCTTCTTCAAAAAAAATATGGGTCAATAACTCCAACTCTCGACAAGCATACCACACTGTCACCTTATCACTGTGAAGTGGCCTCTCATGGAGCTCTCTGGGATTGTTACCACTCCAATAGCACTTATTCTGCTTGTTGACATATCTGGGTGGGTGAAAATGTGCCTCATCACTAAAGAAAAAAAGTGCGTCAGGGGGTAAAGTTTCCAATAACGTTTTGCACACTGTTATTCAGTTCTGGAAATCACGTAGTGACAATTCTTGCACAACAACCATCTTATAGGGATGGAAATTAAGATGTTCGTGAAGAATTTGGCGCATTGAACGATTGGATATGTCAAGGGCGACTGCATGTTTGCAAGTGGAGCATCTTGGAGATCTCCAAATCGACTGTCGAACTGCCTCCACATTTTCTGCCATCATAACGGTCTGTTGTCGTCATGATGATTTTTTCACCACACTCCCTGTTGTCCTAAAGTTCTCTGCCCACAAAACAATCTATTTCCGGTCGAGAACTGGACCTCTGTGCTTAATTCTGAAGTGAGTACGGAACACACGCTGCACTGCCACGTAGGAATGGTTGAATAGGCTTCAACAGCAAATGCACGCTGCTCACTCGTCCACCTCATGTTTCCTACTGAGGGGTATTAGACAGAAACTTCCATGACTGCTGCGTTCGCCGAGCCTATCCCCACTTTTCTGCAACCTCCCCTCCCTTTACAGTGCATCTTCACAAAAAGGAAGTTTCTGTGCCCAACCCTGTAGGTACCATCCTGGCATTTGCCTGAAAAGAGTTAGGAAACTACAGACAACTTCAGTTAGGATAGTCAGTGTCCCAGTGAGATTGTGACTGATCACCTCTTGAATGCAAGTCAGAAACATTATGGTTTGAGCCAGCTAGCTGTGTAGAACAGAACAGTGATTTCTATCTGTTTTTGGATGTTTGCATACTTACATCTGTAGTTTATTAGATCTGCTTGGCATTGCCTGGGCATAATGCACATGCATAAAAAAATTTAATAAATCTAGGAAGAGCAGATGATACTTTGGGGTTTTCTCCATATCGCAGTAACATCACAAGATAGTGTGGTATGTAAACCTGTTGCTAAGCGGTGACTCTGTAAGCAATGATTTGGTAAACATGTTCCCATGCCAACAAATAGAGTTACTGTTGGAAACTGGGTGTTCTTATGTGGTCTGTGCTGCGATGTTATAAGCAGGGGAAAAGTAAGTTATTAGGCAGTTCTGTACAGGATGCTGCAAAGATAGAGCCTAAGCATGTAAAGTTGAAGAACCTCCGTTGTTAGAAGCCATTGCCAGGGAATGGCTGGTGAAGATACAACATGCTGGAAAAAGCTTAGCAGATGCTGTGGCGACTTGTTAATTGTGGAGATTGGTGGTGGCGCTGGAGGGTGTGCAGTAGCTTAGTTGGTTGAGGCACTATAGTACAAGTTGGAAGGTCACAGGTTCAATTTCCAATTTCCCAGTTGACGTAATCCTTCCAGCCAAAATATGGCCCTGGGGTCAACACAGCCTGTAACAGAAATGAGTACCAGGAATCTTCTTGGGGTTAAAGGGTGGCCAGCATGTAGGGCTGACAGCCTCACCACCATCTGTGGGTTGATTGTCTAAAGAATGTGGGGCCTCGACCCCTCAAACCATATGGGCCTCCATGGCCTGTTACAAGGGTAACTTTACCTCTTTTTTCTTTTAGTGGTGGCGCTGTAATTGCTTGTAGTTCTGAGTCGTGTGTATAAGGTGTCAATAAATCCATTCACCAATCCAGTCCCCATCTGTAGTCACACTCTAGATGTGAACAATAGTTTCAGTTTTCCCCAGGATCATGTCAGTGGTCACATTCTCACAATCCCAGTTCCTTTCCTACAGATGAAGTAATGAGGAAGTGTTGGCTGGATCAACCCCATGTATATTTTTACAGGTGTCTGAAACCACCCCAGGGAGGCCTTCTACCACCATGCCAGTTTTGGTTAAAATCTGTGGAATGCTGTGGAAATGTATAAAGATCAAACAGGCAGATGCAATTTTTTTTAAATAGAGCTAGTGTAGGCACGCGCATGGACACACACACACACACAGATATATATACAGAGATGCTGTCAGTAGTTCAAATTATAAACCTTTGAATAGTAGGATGAGTAGTGAATAATTGAATATGTAGACACGTAGTACAGACAAGCAGCGGCACTCACACAAGAAGACTACATTAAATAACACCTGTACAGTGTGAAAACAAGAACTAGCCGCTCCAGCACTTAGACATAGGGCGAGTAACCCTAAGAATTTTAAATTTTAAATTTAAAATTTAGAGAAAAATTTTAAAAGGTTTTAAAAACATCATAACTAAAGATTTTTAGAGTGCTACTACAAGAATATCGGGTTTGACG